GTCGTTGCTCTCTTTTTTATATTTTTTTATCTTATTTTATTTCGTATTTTATTTTTTATTTTTTATTGTTCAAGGCAAAAGTGCTGAGAAATACTTTTCACAGTGTTATGGGGTGGGTAGGTATTCCGTCGATTTCATGCTGAGTTGTTACATATTTTAATCTATTGAGATTTGGTTGCATTACCTTTCAACTTGTTCTGGTAATGTCACAGTGACTTAAAGTAGTAGCGAAAAATCATGGTACCCGATGGGAAATAGATCTCTCGGACTTGCGGCGGAACTACCGACTGATCTCAAAAAAAATACTGGTAAAAATAGTTGAGGGGTAATGAACCATTTCCAGTTCCGCTTGACCACCCAGCATCTGATAGGTATGTCTCTGTATTGTGGTGCTTAACAGGGGTGAGATATGGATACGACTGTATATATATGCATTCTAAGGAAAATATGGGGGAATCAAAAGAAATCAAAAAAGGAGCTGACTTGCATGTCCGGTACCGTGTGTATGGAATGTGTGTATGTACTGTACTGTGCATGCATAGTGCCAAACTATTGTTCATATGAGACCATCGATGGTGTCTTCATGTCTCACAGGTGGATCGCACCGTTGGTGGAAGATGACTGACATGACAAGGGACCAAGGTGTCATCAGAATTTGGTTGATTGTTGCATGCTACTACTTTTGTATATTGAGCCGACTGAAACTTACCTACCAATAGCCGCCGTCTTTTGTCGCCCATGTGGTGCTATGCAACGCCCATTCCAATCGCTGCCCTTCATTCCGATGCAGAGCAATGTACTGAACTTGGGGCGGTGCAGAGTCAATCTCACATTTACGAGGAATACTGCCTGATGAGCTGGACATTGTTTTGGATCACACTCGTACTAAGAATAGTAATGAGCAGCACGTAGTAGATGCTGTTGCTGACTGGAGATACAGTAGCCGTCGTCATTGAGCCTCGCAATCTTATGCAGCTGGTGACTCTTACTCGAAGCAGTTCTGCTGGTTGAAAACGTAGCTTTCCAATATTAATGGTTCGTTTTTAATTGAAAGGCCCGATTAAGCCTGTTGGCCGTTCTTTATGAAATTAAGCCTTCCGCAAGTCACCAGTAAAGCCCACTATTCCCTTTTCTTGACATGGTCTCCGTATTTCTACTATGCTCTTATTCCTGGATACATGCTACGAGTATTAAAGAGTATTGTAATACTCACAAAAAATACCATCAATCAATCTTAGATCGTGTACTGACATTAGCAGATATAGCACAGGCCATGGAAAAACGAGATAGATCCCATTGGTCTGGGAACGATTTTAGTTCGTCAAAGCTACTCGGTTACTTTCTCCACCTTTGACACCAGAGTCCAGGGTGAGCAATGCATGTTTAGGCGAATGCTGTTCACCCCAGTCTAGCCTGGTTCATTGGCATAAACGTGGCTGACTACCTACTAGTGCTAAGTTGGGCAAGTTGGGTTCTTGGGGTACGATGATCCCAGCTGGATACCTGATGGATTAAGCATGTCTGGGATGCGCTGTCTAGGTAGAAAACAAACTGCACGATGGCGTCATGAGCTGAATGATTGCAATTCAATGCATACTGTGCAGTACACGGTTTCTCCACAGGAAGTTCGGCCCTGGCACACTAGAGGACGATCAACCATTAGATCATGTATATCCGGCATAATTCTAGAGTTAATAAAGCCTGGATGGACTCCTTCAGCAAAGAAAAACAGCTGAGAGCTTTAGATCTACCTAGGTCTACAAGCTATGATGATAACTACCAGTAAAACACTATGTCTACCACGAAGCTTACTTTATGTAAATCGCTGGAAGCCTTACAGATCAGCTTGCCAGCTTTAGGTTTACTGAGTCAATCATATGTTTGTATTACCCTTAGTCACACTGAGGCTGAAACTAGCTCTTGTTAGGTGGGTTATTGATATCGAAACTGAGTCAATCGACAAAAGTCACCGTTTTCCCTTTACGAATGAAGGATGCTTCCTTGTTATGACATGATAGTTAAATAAATGATACGAGGTAAGCTCTTGGTCACATACTCCGTAATACATACTACGATGTGTATTAGTGTCTACATTTCTGATGCATCACTATTTAGTCATTGTGCATGATTCTGGTTTTCTCTTTCAATTTGGGTCAAATCTATGCAATTACTTCCTTGGTCCCAAGCTAATATCAAGCCCCATCAGAATTAATTAGAATGGTGTGCCGCCACCCAATTGGTGTGGGAAGTTTGAGCCTGAAAATAGAACACGGAGTCTCACTCGATTGGATACATATTCTTGTAGAGGCGGGAGTACCAGCCGGTGTCAACCACTTCCTCCTCCATACAGAGCGCTAGCAGATTCTTTGACCACACTATACATAGATCATGTGAGCTACCAGAATTTCCACCTAGTACTAGTACCACCCAACATTGTGCTGCCTACCTAGTCTTCGGAGTAATGTCTACCTGATTATTGAGTACCGCAAGAATTCCATTAGCCCGTTGGGGCTTTCCATTTTAACCTTGATTTCGAGAGGAGAGGGGCAAATCATGCTGGGAAAAAAGAAAACGCTAGAGCAAAATATCATTGGCTGTGTCTTCCAGGTTGCCGGGGGTTAAACCCAATCTGGCTTAGGGTTACAGAGTCTGGGGAGTCAGCACCCAATGAGGGATGGTCAGGCGACAGGAGTCCATGGTTAGTGAGGTAACCCTTCCAATGATCCATGCGATCCCGCGAGTTAGTTCTATTGGAGCCAAGCTGGATCTAGCCCCGACCGATTGCCCCTAGCGACGCTGGATGGCAGTTATTTGTGTACACTAATGAAAGGTTCCCCGTGGTCACTGTCCAACTCGTTTTTTGATAATTCTTCCGAATTATCCTCAGTAAATCCCTATCTGATCTAGTCTGATTACCCCTTTTACCACTCACAGGCTACCAATCAATCTTCACCAAATAATAAATCTGTAGTGGCCGGGCTCTGTTTCTTGGCTTCGGCCGAGGACTCCAGTACTACTAGCTACTAGCAGTATGTACCTACTCCGAGGGCCGTATGCACAAGATGCCATATCCTATGGACGGATAAAAATTAAATTAAAAACCAAAACAATAACACAACAGATAACGCCTCCTACAAATTACCGGGTACGGCAGGTACCCTTCAGGACTAATAGCATTGTGGTTAGGCAGTGTTTTGGCCTGAGGTAGTATTGTTTCCCATTAATGTACTGTACCACCAGGTGATCAGCCTTGCTCCGCACCGTCTCAGGTCATTGTCCCGCAGATTTCATTTCCCTTTCCTTTACTTTCCACTTTCCATCACCACTCTTTATTCACATCTCTCGCTTATTTGGATCGTCGGCGTTGGAGCCGCTCGATTTGTATTTTCCGACTCGTCGTCGAAGTTGTTCACTCGCTCTGTTTACTGGCAGTCTCGTATTCGCACGGTTCGCTGACAATTCGAATCTACTTGCGCTCGACCATACCACATTGGAACCCGCGATCGTTTCTCAGGCAGTTTTATCACACTTCTTTCGTGTCGCTGCTCCATTCCAGATATTTGTCGATCATTTCGGCTACCCTAGGAAGCTGGACTTTGCGTTACAACACCGTCGCATCAATTTAGTTGTCTATGCGAAGGTTTAGCCAGTCAACATCGCTTTGGTAACAAACCATCGCCGTCTATGCTCGCTTCAGTTTAACAGTGAGTGTACTCTAATGCGCATCCCACCCTCTCTCCGAAGTCTACAAATGCCCGAATCTCACTATACTCACACTCGTGTTCCTTAGAAGCGTCATGTCTTTGCCGCAACGGCCGGGAAAGGCCTCCCCGCGACGAGAAGAGGTCCACTCGGCTTTCCGGGAATCATCGCACAGACGCCGACGAGACAGTGACACAGGAGGTCTCACTGATACGCTATCGAGCCCAACATCACATCGCCATCATCATCACCGACGCCATCGGTCGCACAGCTCTCGGAGAAAGAAAGATGTAGACGAAGAGAGAGGAGATACGGGCGAGGAGGTTGGGCGCAAAAAGAGCTTCGTCAAGCCGGAGCGCAGTCGCATCGACCCAGATCATCCCAACTACCACTACCGCCAACGGTCACAAAATATGCCCACATACCCATCGGCGACAGGGCATGAGCCATTAATGGGTGGAGAAGGTGAGGCTGATACGAACAGTTCCCGCAGTATGGATAGGGCCAAAGAAGGCGTGTATGGTGAGCATGGGAATATCAACAAGCCCATGGATCGGGCTCCGAGTCGGCGTCGGACCAAGAAAAGGAGGCACTCTAGGAAGATCTCGAAGAAGGCATCTGCAGAGGAAAGGAGACGACAGAAGGCGCTAGAACAAGTTCGTCCCCCAAGCCTCTGGAGTACGTATTGCGCGATCATCACATTCTGGGCACCAGATTTTGTTCTTCGGTGCTTTGGAATGCCACAAAAGGCGCAACGGAGTGCGTGGCGCGAGAAGATCGGGCTTATCAGTATTATCCTGCTCATCGGAGCGTTCGTCGGATTTTTGACCTTTGGATTTACGGCCACTGTATGCGGAACTCCTCCAGTGCGACTGAAGGTCAATCATGTCACCAAAGGCTATATGATCTTTCATGGGAAAGCCTACGACTTATCTAAATCGAAGCACCCCGCGGCCGCTGGGATTCCAGGCAGCTCCAATGTTCTCTATGATCTGCCCGATAAGTATGGTGGCCAAGATGGGAGTTTCTTTTTCCAGCAAGTCAACGGAGCCTGTAAAGGTCTAATCACACTTGCGGACGGATCTGACGTGCCTACCAACTCAAACGGCGACTTAGCCTGGTATTTCCCCTGTACGGCTTTCAACCAGGATGGCTCATCCGAGCCCAACTATACGGAGCCTTACTACAATGGATGGGCCTGCCACACATCAGGGAAGGCCCGGAAATCGTTTTATAGTCTAGGGAGCTCCGGAGACGTATACTACACATGGGATGATACGAAAAACAAAAGCAGAAACCTGGCAGTCTACTCCGGAAACGTGCTGGATCTTGATCTCCTGCGGTGGTTCAACACTGATCAGGTCAAATACCCCGCCAAATTTGATCAGCTCCGCACAAACCCAGATGTGCGCGGCGTCGACCTTACATATTACCTTCAGACTGGGGAAGAGAAGAAGATAGGCAAATGCCTGTCCCAGATCATCAAGGTCGGCAGTATAGATACTGACACAGTTGGGTGTATTGCCTCTAAAGTCGTTCTTTATGTGTCACTGGTCTTCATCTTATCCATTGTGGTCGTCAAATTTGCGTTTGCCTTGCTCTTCCAGTGGTTCCTCGCCCCAAGCTCGCCGCCCAGAAGACGAGTATGAGCTCGGATCCCAGGAAACGTAACCAGCAAATCGAAGACTGGTCGAATGACATTTATCGACCCGGCCCTCGGCTGACAGATCCCACGGACCGCCCCAATAAAAGGGCGAGTTTCCTACCAACCACTTCCAGGTTCTCGAGCCCTTACACGGTGAGTAACGGCGGGAAACAGCGCCCTCAATGGGTAACCATGGCAAGCCAGAACTCCACCAGCCGGCTGGTTCCCGGCGGTGGCTCCATGTATAAGCTGAGCCACAATAGCAGCGGTGGCTCAGTGAGTGCGGATGCATCCCGCCAGAACCCTACGGCCAGTCGATCAAGCTTGGTGCAAGACTCCCGCTATTCCACTGCCATCGCTGACTCCGACGGCCTTGGAGCGGGTGGGTACATCCATGAAGCTGTTGTTCCTCAACCGCCGCCCGAGTGGCAGCCCTACGGCTTTCCCTTGGCCCATGCGCTTTGTTTGGTTACTTGCTATTCGGAAGGTGAAGACGGGATCCGTACCACCCTTGATTCCATTGCGATGACCGATTATCCTAACAGTCACAAGACCATTATTGTTATTTGTGACGGTATGATCAAGGGAAAGGGCGAGGAGTTTTCTACTCCCGAAATTGTGCTTCGTATGATGCGAGATCCGGTTGTCCCTATGGATGAGGTCCAGCCGTTCTCCTACGTAGCAGTGGCAACAGGCTCCAAGCGACACAATATGGCCAAAGTCTATGCTGGCTTCTATGACTATGGCGAGACGTCCATAATTCCACCGGAGAAACAACAGCGTGTTCCGATGATGATCGTTGTGAAATGTGGAACCCCGTCCGAAGCGAAACAATCCAAGCCCGGCAACCGCGGCAAGCGGGACAGTCAAATCATTCTGATGTCCTTCTTGCAGAAAGTGATGTTTGATGAACGGATGACGGAACTTGAATTTGAAATGTTCAACGGTCTCTTACATGTGACTGGCATACCTCCAGACTTTTATGAAGTCGTGCTCATGGTCGACGCCGACACGAAGGTCTTCCCGGATAGTTTAACCCACATGATCTCCGCCATGGTTAAGGACCCTGAGGTCATGGGTCTCTGTGGTGAGACTAAGATCGCTAACAAGACGGACAGTTGGGTGACTATGATTCAAGTGTTCGAGTAGGTGCACCCTCCCTTTTGTCTCTAATGCTTTTTCTGACTCTCGTATCAGGTACTTCATTTCCCATCATCAGTCCAAATCGTTCGAGTCTGTCTTCGGTGGTGTGACCTGTCTTCCCGGGTGTTTCTCCATGTATCGGATCAAAGCACCGAAAGGAGGCCAGAACTACTGGGTGCCGATCCTTGCCAATCCCGACGTGGTGGAACATTATTCAGAGAATGTAGTCGACACTCTGCACAAAAAGAATCTGCTCCTACTAGGAGAGGATCGGTACTTGTCAACCCTGATGCTTCGGACTTTCCCCAAGCGGAAACAGATCTTTGTGCCCCAGGCTGTTTGCAAAACCCAAGTGCCCGACAAGTTCATGGTCCTCCTCTCTCAACGTCGTCGCTGGATCAATAGTACAGTTCACAACCTAATGGAGCTGGTACTGGTGCGAGACCTATGCGGAACGTTCTGCTTCAGTATGCAATTCGTCATCTTCATCGAGCTGATTGGAACACTGGTCCTTCCTGCGGCTATTGCATTTACCTTCTACGTGGTCATCTCGTCTATTGTCAGGAAGCCGGTGCAGGTCATTCCGCTGGTCCTGCTGGCCCTCATTCTGGGACTTCCCGGTGTGCTCATCATCGTCACCGCCCACCGATTGGTCTACGTCTTGTGGATGTTGATCTATCTCATCTCCCTGCCTATCTGGAACTTTGTTCTTCCGACTTACTCGTACTGGAAGTTTGACGACTTCAGCTGGGGTGACACACGGAAGACGGCCGGGGAGAAGGACAAGGGCCACGAGGCTGGGGAAGGCGAATTCGATAGTAGTAAGATCACGATGAAGCGCTGGCGAGATTTCGAGAAAGGTATGTGTATTTTTGGGATGTTTCGGAAACTTATAGAAGCTGACTTGTCTGGCAGATCGCCGGCTTCGCATGCAGGCCGCCTGGGGACAGCCTCCGATGGGAGGATACCCTGCGCGTTACGAGGAATACTCCGACTACTAGTATATAGGGGACATGTGCTATTTGTTTTTCAATGTTGGTCATGAACGAGTCGATTGACTTTTGTATTACATTTTTTTTATCTTCTCCGTTTCTAATATTTTGTGCCTTTCTATCCCTTTACTTACTTGGGAGGCATCTAGAACCATTTTTTTTGTATAGCTTCTTGCGAAGGGTACGGACTGTACACCGGTGTTCTTGGAGATACGCCGTCTGCCAGGATGAGTGGATTCTGAACGGATTGTGACAGTATTTAGCTTTGATGTAATTTTTGAGCGAGACCAGCGATGGAGTATATAATGAATGGACACGACTGATGAGAGATAGGAAGGATGACCTCGTCCATTGTAATTTCGAAATGAACCGCCGAGGGCAAAAGAAAAAAAAGTATAAAAAAGAAAGGGAAAGAAAAAGAAATGCAATTAGATTACTCAGGTAAAATGCAAGGCAGAAAAAGCAAAGATGAGACTAAAGCAGCAATCAATCACATCGCTTGCTAGTGATCTTAGCAGGCTTCCCGAAGAAGGACCCTTGCCACAGCTGCCGATGGATTGAACTTACTCTCCTGTGGTTCCTGTTTCGAGCTGACTGATGATTGTTCCTCGTCTTATTGGAGTCTTCGAGGGACAATGAGATTTGGTTTTGCCACCACTGGACCACTCCAGGTTGTTGATGCTCGGACCCTACTTTTTTTTGTAATAATCAAATTTAATAATTATCTTTTCGAGAGGACGTTTTGGTAGTTTTCTGAGAACACGTTCCCTATTTTTGCTTTTGCGGATCATCCCGTCCATGTGACGGCTCATGCACGTTCTGTTCTTTTCGGTATTTGGTAAGGTTTCCGGTCTCTGGCCTCCAGGGTACAGTCCTCTATCTACGAAGTACTAGTATCGGATGTCTCTTTCTCTCTCTCGCTCGCTCTCCACTCATGGGCCCCTCACTCCACTTGTACTGCGCTTTTCATCCATGAATCATGTACTCTGCATTCCCGGTTCGTATGCCTGATCAATCCCTACCGACATCATTGTTCTTGACTTGACTTTGTTACAAATTTCATCCAAATACCAAATAACAATTATACCCCCAAAAATCAAATCAAATAAGAATATTAATATTGTCAAAGAGGCTGGAAACTAACTCCGATCGGCGGTCGTGACATTGCGGTTCAGCCCTTCCAGAAGGTGGTTGAATAACCGTCAAGAAAAAGAAATCCTCCAGGGAAATAACAGGCAAATCAGAAGACCCTGTGATTGTGTTACTGACTATTCTATCCTCTTACCCTTTTTTTTTCTTCTTCTTCTTCTTCTTCTTTATTG